TTCGATTTCAGATTGCTCCTCGGTTATAATGTCGGCGGCTGAATTTTTATGTTCTAAGGCCGCAAATTCACGAGTGGTACTGGCCTCATGTAAAGACGCTCTACTTCAAGCTCTCGGTACACTGACGTGTCATGAGGCTGGAATTCGTGCACTTGAATCCTGTTCGCCAATGCATCAAACTACTCTAATAAGTTCCTTATTGCGACCGTATCAAGGACGGGCTTGGGGCCAATCGAACTGGCTGATCCTTCGATTTTGGCTCGGATGCGGATTTTGCTATCGAGACGGCCGACATCCGTCGATTTTTCAAGATGGTACACGAACTCCGTCCAATCTAGGACTTTTTCGAAGCCGAGGAAAAAATGGTTCTACTGGTCTATTGCATCATATCGGTATGTTAATTCCATCACATCTAACAAATGCGGATATAAACTATTACTAGTAACTTATATATTTTCATTGCAGCTCCAAGTAGTCCAAGTGTGCATATTCAGCAATTAATAGCCGAATTGCTTATGAAAGACGAACCGTTTAGCACCACACTGATTAATTCAATTTTGTCGCAATTGAATTGGGCATTCTCCGAATTCGTGCTACTTTTACAAGAAATCCAAAATGGAATGCAACGCCAAGATCGATCGAATGCCGCTTACGAATCAAGACAGTCGAAAATATGTTCCATGTGCTTTGAGCTTACCGTCTCTTTAATGCGAACGCTTGAAATGATGATTAATATAGCGCCGGCTGTTTTTGTCGATGCAGAACGACCTAATAGTATAACATTATTGAATCGTGTATGCCAATTAATCAGTCAAGTTTTGTCACGAGTGACAGTACCACCTGGATGTTTTCAATACGTCATCGATATGTGTTTACCCGAGCTGAGCAGTGTAACACATTTTTCCATCATCAGCGCAGCCATTGGAATACTATTGGCACTTTTAAAGAATGAAATAAATGACGACGAAGAAGGGCGCATCAATATGCCGAAAGTGGTTAAGATTCTGTTAACCGATCCGAGTTTTCAAGTAGCGTCTCTGGAATATACTGTTGGTTATGTAAAAACACCGATTCAAATTCAACAAGAGATACACCGTGGAAATTTCGACGCACAAAGCCGTAGTCATATCGATCCACTTACAAATGAGGTTCGTTTCAGTTCAAACCGACCGAGATCTGAGCAACCGGTCATCAAATTTTCTCTACTTGATTATCCCACCCATGTAAATGCCGATGAGATTGAACAAGTGAAAAAATTGATAAAATACTTGCTAATTCGAAAATCACTTTTATCCGATACAACACTGCCTTCAGACGATACGATTTGTACGATATGCTATGCAACATCGATATCAGCTACATTCGAACCATGCCGTCACCAATCATGTTCCAGTTGCATTACACAACATTTAATGAATACTAAAGTTTGCTTCTACTGTAAAACGCTTATAACCAAAGTGCACAATTTTGATGGTACAACCATTTACGAAAACATGCCAGCTTCGCAATCTTAACGATTCAATCAATGCGCAATTTAGTTAATCTCAATCGAACATAAAAAAAAGTACAAATCACAAATTGTGATAAAAACCAAGGGAAAAATCATTTGAAATTGATATATTTTTTGGGGCAAAACCAAAATACATACAAATCGTGTGTTAATTTGTTTGAAATAGTTCAAAATGTGTATGAATTTTAATGTTTTAGAAAAACAATTTTTAAAATATGGTAAAAATCATAGAATGATCTAAAAAAGACAATTTTGAGTATTTTCCCCCTTGAAACAAACTCTCTCGCTATTAGATGTTTTTAAATTTTGAAATAAACTGTCAAAAAACGCACTAAAAACTTTTAGCTCAACACGCAATTTATTTTACAAACGTAGTTCAATGTGAATTTGTGAATGTAAATATTGTACTTTTAAACTTAAACTAAATATTATATTAATTTTGCTTTTTTTTGCAAAAAGAAATGACAACTAGCACATAGATCTCACTTTTATTTTAAATAAAAAATCCGCTTGAATTTTCAGAAAATCATATCTTGTTTCATTTTAGAACAACACATTTACACATAGTATTGAAATCCCTAGTAAAGAGTCAGATGATGTTGACAATGGTCGAAGTATTTTTAAATTTTAAATACGTGTTCTTATTCTTGTTGTTTCATTGCTTCGCATTCACAAGAAGAAGTATTTGATTCAAGTGGGCTTGTTAAATGTTGGTATTTGTAGAAAATAATAAAAAGGTTTATTTCGCAAAATTGAAGGCATATACCAGCGAATAAAATGATTTCGTCTAAATCGATATCGGATAGTTGGATGATTTTTTTTAAATGTGCGATTGACAAATTGATAATTTTGGTTGATATCGCTATATTTTTGTTTCTTTCCATTTTACTCGATTACTTTCAGTAGAATTGCATTTTTATCTTTTTTGGTGTGTTCTTGGAATATCGTTCATCATAATATGATACCTCTTATCACTAGGAAGTGCTAAAAAAACAATATCAAAGACGATAGAAACTATGGCACTTTTGCTAATTACTGTGCCGCCCAATCGATATGCGCTATATATTAGGATGCATCGATTTTTATAACGTAGCCAGAAAATATATTGAATTAACTGGTCAGTTGAGCTGACAGGACGTTAGCCAGCTAAATGGGCTAAAACAATAGACGTTATTGTTTTAATGATGAATCAATTTTTTCGTTTTAATAGAAGTGATTGTTCCCGGGGCAAAAGTCCCGGGACAAAAGTTGTTAGTATCGACGTCCTCTATCGAAAATTTCATTAGGGTTTTGAATATTGCCAAATTTTAGAATTCAATGCACCCCACTATAACTAGGTAACAAGCAGAATGTTATATCACTCAAAATATATACATATCTAATCTTTGGTAGAACCATACATTCCAAATTAACTCAGTTACTGATTACATATGATAACAATTCAAACCACCTCTACCTCAAGTTATGTTTGTCTTTAGGCAATGTAAATGAGTGCTACCATAACTTTTCTCGGGTTGAGTAATCATGTTCATCCAGAAATCGTGAGAAAAACCCGTAATACTCGAACGAAGTATAAAAGGTATAGTTAAACGGTTTACACGTTTTTTCCTTGTAGTGATCCAAAACAAAAATCACGTGTGCTAGCAGTCCATTTCATTTGAAACTCGGCAAAGTGTTTCTGTTATACATACTTACTGTGGAAAGGAGAAAATTCCAGTTTCTCTTGGAATTTCCCCAATTGATTTTGTTTTTTAAATTGGAAGCTTTTGAATTTCATGTTTTCGTAGAGAGTAAACATTTACCGCAAAAGCTCTGTGGAATGAGTGCGCAATGTACAAATTCAGATTTTGTGCGCATTTTGCCTGGAAGCATTATATCGAAAGCATATTTTCCAAAAATCGTGTTCAACTCACAAGATGTATGAACGAAAAATGCTTCTCATCGTGGTCACGTCGCTATGCTGTTTCTAATATTATTATAGTCCGCTTAAAGCTGTAGAGCAACAGTCAACTGTTTTAAAGCATTTCGAATATTTAAGGACATTCCCGTCGAACAACTGGCATCAGTTCGATTGTAGCATACGAACAGTTAGGACCAATCCATAAAAGATTGAGCAAGGGATAATATATTCACAAAATATCGTCGATAAATTCAAGTGGAAGAGAAAGTCCACAAAGTGATTCTGCTAATTTATACTAATAAATACTTTGATAAATATAAATCTGTTGAAATTAATTCGCTTTTTGTCTTCAAATGGTGTTAATTTATCCGTTGGTATTTTCATTAAAACAAACCTCTCATCACATTGCGGTGGATGAACACAAATTTCGACACAATTTTTTGTGCTTAACAAATTTATTATTTGAATTTTGAGTAAGACGTTTTTATGAGTGAAATAACCGAAGAATATTAAATTATAACATAAGAGGAAAAAAGTGTGATTTTTATAGAACAATAACAGAGCACAAAATTGACCATTAAGTGATTTAAAAGAAAGAATCTATTTGAGGTAGGATATTTAACATTTTTTAACACAGAAAAAATCCATTTTGCACAATTAGATTTCAAGTTTCCCGTTACAGTTAATAAGGGAATTTAAATATCTGTCCCTTTGCGTGTGTCAATGATATCGAATTTTTGCATAACATATATTGGTTTTCTCAACATTTATTGAATTTTTTTGAAAGGAAACGGAGCACAATCGATGTAAAAACCATTTCAAAGGCATTGCATTTGATCGATATATATCCGCTCCCCTGCAAAAGTGGCAATTATGATGATAAGGAGCAGAAAAATCGAAATCACTTAAATAGGATTTACCAAGGCTATAAGAAGATGATTA